TTCTTCGTTTTACAAATCCATACCTAAAGAAAGGTTTAACATACATCATCTCATTTAACCCTCCTATCAAACACAAAAGCACTCATTACTATTCCTGTTTTACAGAATAAATGATAAAGTAAACTTTTTTGAAACCCACAGTGTGTCTCTTTGCTCCCACAAAATCTTACAACATTCCAGGCCCCACAAATAAAAACAAAATGGTTAAGTGTTTACCTAAAATTAAAATTATGTAAACTATATTGTGCCCATCTAAACAGATCAACATGCTTAAGCTAGAAACATCCCCGAACCTATTTAGTGATGTACGAATATGAAGAAGCTGTTCCAAATTTTGGCTCTGAAGTTTATTGCCATGTCGTAACTGACCAATTTTTTTTCCATTTTTTAAAAGTGAAAAACTGAATCAAGTATTATTTAATGTTTCGGCAAGAAGAATCTACTGGCTAGCCACCCCAGCCCCGAGCAGCAAGTATTGGCCTAATCAGATAACAATCAGCCAGCCAGACACTAGAAAACAAACAAAATAAGCTGTTAAAGATAATAAAAGATCGCCATGAAAAGTAATGTAAACAGGTTGAATAGAATAAGCACCATCCTTGACGATTTGTGCGTGGCTTGGATTTTGGATAGAATGACTCTAAAAAGCCTAGCAGCTAGAGGAAGAGAGAGTGTTGGGGAGGACCCCACTCCTGGACTCAGGTTGGGGGCAGCAGGAGGGCTAAGGTCCTGCTTTATTTCTCTGCTTTATGCCACACCTCTCTTCATAACAGCTGTGGATTCTCGCTCTGGCAAAGCATCACGCAAAGCACTCGATCCAGAGTGGGTGAGAAGCAGAGGCACCAAACCACCTTCGTGCCTCCCACTAAACCTTCGATGAGAGGACACACCAGGCCCAGAACCCACAGGTCAGGGCTCCAACTGACAGTCCTGATGGCAGAAAGGTCAGAACAAGTGTTGCCCACTTGGGCCCAAAGAGACATACAGATGAACCTGAAGCACCCTCTTCGCTTAGTTTTGTAGCTAGTTTGTTAGGCACAGAAAAATGCCTGGGGGAGTTTGATTTCTAATTCCGCGTGAAAGAAAACGCGTCTGCAGACACATAATGTTCCTGGTTTACGAAAGTGCAAATGGGTTGACAAATCCCCAATCTGGGGGTCCCTCTGGCGGTTTCTTGCCTTTTCTGATGGGCCTGCCCAGTGGTCCCTGCTTGGAAAGAGACAGGGGCTTGTCTCCTCCCACCTTCACCCCACTTCCTCAGATGGGCTGCACCACTTACCCCGCTGGCACAGCAAGGGTCATAACACATGGAAAGAAATCTGATTCTTTCCCAGAGTTGGCCGTAGCCAGGCTAGGCTAGGTGGGGGGAGGGTGTCCTGGTGGGCTGCTCCTGACATTAGTCCAGGTGTTTGGGGGGCGCAGAGCAGGAAGAGAGGGGGGCAGGCTTTAGTCACCAAAACAGACCAAGCCAGATTCCTTGGCCCTTCAAAGACCTCAGGACAACTCACTAGAGGGACACTAAGCAGGGCACATAAGAAAGGGGGACATCAAGTCTCAGAGGGGGGCAGAGGCACAAAGAAAAAGAACGAGGAGGAGACAAAAGTGGGTGATGGGGTCAAATGTGCTAAAATCAAACCAGGCATTGCAGCACAGAGAGAAGGGACACACCTGGCACCCTAAGGGCTCCCTGAGTCTGTGTTAGAGGTCGGCCCTAAAAGGGCCCAGGGAGCATCAGACCAAGCAGACACTCCCAACGGGCTGTTGTCACTGAGACCAGAAGTCGAAAAAGGGGGAATAGCTTAGGCAATGCCTCCCCCACCCTTGCCTCCCCAGCACTTGCACAACCAACTAAAACACCCATGCACACGGCCTCACTGGTGCACACATATGGCACAGACAGGCCACAGCCTTCGCGTGAGTGCACAAACACACACAACCTTCCAGTCCATGGACACAGCGTATTCAACCTGCCAGCTGGTGGTGTAGGCACACCATGCACACACACAAACTCCCGTCAGTAGGGAACACACACACAACCTCTCTGCAGGCTCACGCTCATGCACACACATACTTACTCCACAACCTCTTGGCTACATACAAACCTGCACATAAGGTACATACAGAACCTCACGGCCTGGCAGGAGAACATGCACGCACAACCTCTGCGAGAGGTGCGCACGCACACACACACACACACACACACACCCCTACACTCTCAGTTGGCGTGTCCGCACACACACGTTTAAGTGCACACACACGCACTCACAACCTGTCAGGTGCACAGCATCCTCCGCACCTCTCTGGTAGACGCACACACCCTGAACAACCTCTCTGTCTCGTGCACACACAAAACCCAAAGGGCACAAGCACTCACAACCTGCCAGCAACACACACACACACGCACACACACGCTCACAACTTCTCCGTTGGTGGAGCGCAAACCTAAACTCGCAGCGCGTCAGGGTCACCGCCACCCGCTCACAGCCTCGCCTGCGGGCTCACCCCCACACCCACGCACCCTCCTGCGCGGGCGCACCCCTCCCCCAGGCCCGTGCGGGCGCGCGGCAGCCAACTCTTGCGGCGCGGGGAGTGCGCCCGCCCCCGGCCCGCGCCCGCCCACCCGCGCCCCTGCTCACCTTTCTCGCCCGCGCCCCGCGCGCGGCCCTCGTCCTCCTTGGGGTTGGTCACCTGGGTGATGATGGCCGGGCCGTCCATGGGTGCGCGGCGCGGCGTCCGCCCGCCGG